TTTCGATCAGCCATTTTGTACAACACATATATAGGCACAACACACATGTAGTATGTCACATTGAGCATTCTTCCATGGCTGTTCGAAAACTCCTCTCGATACCAACTCCATTAACCCCACCAAGCCCATCCACCACAGCCACTTTCCGTCGTGGACTTTCAGTGTTTTCGAACGCACCCAAGACGCGGTAATGCTTACCGCGCGGCGGAAATCCGCGCAACAGCCAATCAATGTGTTGTTTTTCCGTAAGAGCTAGAAGATTATGGGAGCGTCCCGATTGACCACGGTACGATTGGACACAACCAACCGATGAAAAGAATTATCTAGTGAATTACTAGGTCGAACCAATCATTACAATCTGTGTCCAATCGTATCGTGGTCGATCGGGTCCCACCCGAAGATTATTACAGAAACAAGTATATTGATTGGCTGTCACGTGAATTTCTGCCGCGCGGCAAGGATTACCGCGTTCTGGGTGCAAGAGATAAAGGTGAAGTCCCATGGTACGTATTTTCGCGTAACTGCGTAACCAATCACATTTTCCTATTCTTTTAGAAGTTCTAACAGAAATACTAAACGTCGAAATCTATTGGTTACGCGCTTACGCGGCACACAAAAAATATATGCCATGGGACTCCAGCCTGAGTTTATACGACAGCTTAAAACATGTTTAGTAAGAGTGTGTTCAGATGGAGAAAGAAATAACGTAACGGAACATTTACGGAAAAGAGATAGTGGAGGTCAGCCAATCAGAGTAATTCCGTTTTTATTCCGTTCTGTTGTTTGATAGGTAGATTTCACATGGTACAGAACTATTATGGAACGGAACAAAAATTGCAAACATTTTAACCTATCAACATCGAAAATTTTACAATTTTCCTGTAACAACCTTTTAGTTCTTACGGAAAAACAACATATTGATTGGCTATCGCGCGGATTTTCGCCGCGCGGCAAGCATTACCGCGTCCTGTGTGCAGGAGCCATTAAGCCGGTATTTATAGTCGAATCTTATTTCAAGACTATCTTAAGTAATGTCTTAAGATGCGAATGTGATTGGTTCATGATATCTTAAGACAGTACTTAAGATGATCTTAAATATAAGGTCGGATTATGAATACCGGCTTTAGAATCGCCGTTAGCAGTCCATGGTTATATAGTCAAAGGACAAGATGTGTTACTCTTATAGAAATATCATACTAAGAATCATTGATAATTACTTATTTTCAGTATTAAAAATACTGGATAATAAGTAATTAACAATGATTCTTAGTATGATATTTCTATAAGGGTAAGTAATTGGAAAGCACCTCAAGCTAGGATAATACTCAGGGTTGAGCACGTATTATACTGAGATATTATACATTGTATTATACACTGTATTATGCAGTATAATACATTTAGTTTTATACATATTATATTTCCTGTGGTATCATCTCTTCTGGTATTCACAGCCAATATTGAAAATCTATAGTTTATGGCCGGTATTCATAGTCGAATCTTATTTTAAGACTATAACGATCCCCATAAGGAAGCGTTACAAGACAATAGGGAAACCGAAGAACAGCACGCGATCCGAATAATCGTTACTAAAAATCAGGAAAAAAGAAACGCATAAGACCGCGAATCGAAAGAAACGAGAGAGGACAGCGCGTCCCCCTTATAGAAATATCATACTAAGAAATACTGAAAAATTATGGGAGCGGTGCACTTGGACACGGTGCATTTGGACACAGCCAATCACAGCACCGTGATTAGAGACATTTGTAGGGTCCCTTGGAACAGCGACTTGTGATTGGACTGTGTCCAATTGCCCCGTGTCCAACTGATATACACCCAAAAATTATTAGTGATTAAATATTACCAGTAATTCGCTAATTTTTGGGCCAGTACTTAATTTCTGGTGAATACTGATAATAAAATCACTGTTAAATATTGATAGTAATCAAATATTGAGAATTATTATGCAAAGGTGAAAAATGAGAAAATCATAATGTTTACAAAAATATACTTATATTCCTAATTTTCTCATGTCTCATAAACTATCCTTATAGAAATATCATACTAAGAATCATTGATAATTACTTATTTTCAGTATTAAAAATACTGAATAATAAATAATTATCAATGATTCTTAGTATAATATTTCTATAAAGATACTAGATATCGAAGGTTGTCAACACATTCCAAACTTTCATGAATCCTCCTGCGATAATTTCGATCCCAAGCGGGTTACCCCATGCATGTCTTGACCGCATTAGGGTGCCGTCCCACTGAGCACGGATCGGAACGCCGGATCGGATTTCTTACTATAATGAGCGTTCCGTTCTCTAGTTCCGTTCCGTAAAAGTTTCCTCTACCAGTCCCATGTAGCAAAAACGGAACGGAATGGCGCGTCGGTCGCAAATAAATATGATTAATTCGTCAATATTTCGTTATTTTGACGCGACAGAATTAATTATATACATAATTTATGCAATTACCTTGCCGATAACATTGTCATGAATATTCTGAAATATTTAATTGAAGAGTGAAATATATTTTATAACTAGAAATCCGTTCCGTTTTTGCTACATGGGACTGGTAGAGGAAACTTTTACGGAACGGAACTAGAGAACGGAACGCTCATTATAGT